GCCATTCAGCTTTAAGCGTTTACAGTTTCCAGTGCGGCTTGCATTTGCAATGTCAATAAATAAATCGCAAGGGCAGTCGCTAAGTGTATGTAGCATCAACCTAGAAAATCCATGTTTTTCACATGGCCAATTATATGTCGCCTGTTCCCGTGTCGGAAAACCATCAACATTATTTATTTAACCAGAACATAAAACTAAAAATATAGTTTATCAAAAAGCATTAGAGTAGAGAGAAGCAGTGAAGGGTACAGAGACTATTAGTTGCTTTCTAGAGCGCGCGTGGTATTGAGCTCAGTGTTTACTTAAAAATGCCAAGTTGTTCAATAGCGATTTGTAAAAACATTAGTGGAATTATTGAATCCTATGGAATAAACACTATTATGAAAATATATATTTTGTTTTTTATTTAATTAAATTTTCAGGTATAGCGAGACCAGGGAATTATGGATTCATTTTTATATGGAGGATATTATAGATTCCAGTTCAAATTGAATAGGTACTCATACCTAAGATAGGTCAGCTATACAAAATAAAGTAGTGCATCATTGCTACGCTAAGGCGGTACGAAGTTCGCCGGGTCAGGTAGTTATATTTATAAGAACTATAGGATCGATTTTTGGTATAACGAAAGTTTAAGGTTATTTTGATATTAGTAAAATGTTGGTGTCGATCACTGGTTTTCACAAACTGACTTTTCCAATAATCGACACGTGTCGATAATAATTTTTTGAAACATTTTTCCTTTGACAAGCGAATATAGTTCTTCTTACTTTGCGTATTTGGAACATATTTGAAGTAAACTAATCAAAGTCGAGCTACCAATAATCGACAAGCGACGATTATTGGGGAATAATGTGTGTCGATGATTGGTTCACGGTGAAAGATTGCAGTTTCTGCGAAACGTTTCGTAGTACCTAGGATTACGATCCATGATAAAATTTCGTGAAAAACAACAATGGGGCCGAGCACAGTTTTAACTAAAGGGGAAGAAGACATTTCGGAAAAGTGGATATTAGCGTTATCTGAAAGACATATTCCACTGACAAAAGTTTTGCTACTAGACAGTATGCAAACAGCAACTGCGGTGATGAAAAGGACAATCTTACTGTCCTAATAACTGGAAATGCAGCTGGAGACCTAGACCTCCAATGATCATATTTAATTATGAACGGATTCCTTTAACTATCGCTGTGATTGTTCCCGATGATTGGGCAATAGGTAAATCGGAGAGTGGGTGGATGTGTAGAAGCACGTTCTATGAATATATGACTAAAGTCTTCAATCCTTGGTTAGAGCAAAATAATATTGAAAAACCGGTCTTGTTCTTTGTGGATGGCCACCAAAAAACACCTGACGCTTCATTTATCAAATTTTTGCTCGAAAATGGTATTGTAGTCGTTGCTTTGTACCCAAATTCTACGTATATTCTACAACCGATGGACTTGTCAGTATGCAGACCACTCAAAGCTCATTGGAAAAAAGCCGTGACGCAATTGAAAATGGAGAAACTTGGCAAAATTCTATGAAAAGAGAACTATTCCCCAGTGTTGCAGAAAGCTCAAAAATATCTAAAACTGAAATAGAAACCACAACTAAAACCATTAGTGTTATAACCTATAGTCGTATTATATTATAATTTATTTGTGCAATTGTATAATAATCTTTGTAAATTTTGCTTAGTTTTATATCAAAAAATATATCTATAATCAGTGATTAAATTGTAACCCTACAAGATTTCTACACTACCTAAAGGTTGACTGGGAGAGAATGCCTTGGGCCGCCGATGTACAAATGTGCATAAAGTTGGAAAAAAAACTAATCCAATGCAGAAAGAATTTATAAAGTATTTAGAACGTGAAATCGTAAATGTGTTCTCAGCTCAAAAGTTAAAGCAATTCAATAAATTATACTTTGAAAATATTACATGGGCTGAAAAGTCCCGGGCCTAACAGATATATGGCGCTAGTTTTATTGCAGTCACCTTTTTTTCAGTTAATACTAACCTTCAAAAGACATCTGTTAGAATTTCATGATATTCTATTCATTAGTTTGTGGGTTATTGTGCTAAGAGTGACGCTACTTTAGTTATTTTCAAAACAATGGATCAAAAACAATTTCGTGTTTTAATTTTACACTGCTTCTTGATGGGAAAACATACCGTTCAAGCGAAGCAATGGCTTGAAAAGTGATATGGGGACTCCGCTCCATCAGAAACAACAATAAAACGTTGGTTTGCTGACTTCAAACGTGGTCGTAGAGACACCGACGATGCAGAACGCAGTGGACGTCCAAATGAGGCGGTAACACTAGAAAACATAAAAAAAATCCACAAAATCGTTTTGAATGATCGAAAAGTGAAGTTGCGTGAGTTAGCTGACATCGTAAAGATATCAAAAGAACGTGTTGGCTTTATATTGCATGAGCATTTGACTATGAGAAAGCTCTGTTCAAAGTTGGTGCCGCGTTGACCAAAAACGAGAACGTGTTGATGATTCTGAGCATTGTTTGGCCATGTTTAAACGTAACAAACCATGGATGAAACATGGATCCATCACTTCACTTCGGAATCAAAACGATCGTCATCTGAGTGGACAGCAACTGGTGGTAAATCTGTATTCCTGTGTGATTACTTGTAAATATATATTTGTAGTCAATCTAGGACGATGACAGAAACTGGTTTTGTCAAAGCACAATCGGATAACCTACTGATAATAGATGCATTTATGATGTCAGCATATTTTGCATCAAATCTCGATTTTACGAGGGCAGAGATCAAAAGAGTGAAAGCTGCAAGATAATTTGTATTTGTAAGATCCACAAATTTCTTGTTCTAAAAAACGAGGTATGAAATGAGTTCAACTTTAATTTACCAAATAAACTTCCCCGAAGGATTTCAGGAGGTAGGTAATGGTTCTGTCGTTGATTTTAGGGATGGAATAGAGGTTTTTTTTAACCGAGTCCCATTTTATAATAATTTTAAGCCAATGACTACCACAAAAGTGTAGAGTTTCTCTGTAGGTACGTAAACTAAATCTTCTTTTCCGATTGCTTTTACCCATTAATGTTTTCCACTTTTACTTCGCCCATATGCAATCCAACAGCCTACACAAGTTTTTGAATACATTTTAATGTTTTGAGACACAAAGAATAATGAGAATAAATATTTGACTGTCCGCAAAACAACAAATATTAGAAAAAAATTAAAACAGTTCAAAAGAAATTTAATTTAATTATTGCACTATCTATGATGACAATTTCATTTGAACTGTTTTGGCAACAGGTATAGGCAATAGAATAAAATAGGCAATTATTAATCCTTTTTAGAATAAATGGTACTTACCCGTACCTATTTATCTTAATACAATTGAAAATGTCTGATTGACGTACCATAAATCTTGGTCACCCTTCTTCTAACTTTCATTACAGTTTTAAGTTATGTAGGTCGTGAAGTTCAAACCGTAGGGCTATTTTCATACCGTTTACATTTTCTTCGAAATCATATCAGTGGTTAGCAAAAAGAATGGAACCTCTACTAAGCTCCGTTTAAGAGAACTGCGTGGACACGCAGTTCGCCATGTTTCAACCGCGCGGCCATAGCATTTAAGTTCTGTAGGTCGTGAAGTCCAAGCCTTAGGGCTTTATTTGTCTACATTTTCTTCGAAATCGTATCAGTGGTTAGCAAAAAGAGTAGGGCCCCTAGTAACCTCCGTTTAAGAGAACTGAGTGGCCGGGCGGTTCTCCATATTTCGACCGCGTGGCCATGGTTAATCCCTTACAACTTTCTAAATATTGGTTCTGCGAAATTGCGACTATCATTGTTAGTATTTTACAAATTCCTTCGTAATGTTAAAGTAGTCGTGACGCCATTTTCTACGACACTGGCCGAGCAGTCGAAACGGACACTTTAATCGCTGAGTGTTTAACTGTTCTGTGTGCTTGTAGATGCGCTTCCGACAAATTATCGTAATAATAATATTGTTGTTGTTCGTGAGATATGTGTTCAGAAAAGTTTTGTTGTGTTAATTATTGTTTAGTCTTATTGCGTTCGTCATAAACATAGTACACGGTGTGAAGTGAACAATGGTGTGAAGAATTAATGTTATCGTGTGGGCGAAGACTTTGTGTTGTGACGAGTCCCGCTAAATTTATTATATAAAGTGAGAATAATAGTTTGTGTGTAGTGTAGTGTGTGTGAAACTGAGTGCATTATCAGTCTTTTAATTTTATTGGGTTATTAGTATCGACATCCGTAATGCCGCAAGTGAGCTTCACAGCCGCGAAATATCCTACCATGATGTTAATTTACCGGGAACTCTATCAAAACGTACCTTTAGCTTTACGGACAAACCGAGGTATGGAATCATTCGTGTATGTCCTACAGACTGCCGAATTTTTGTAATTGCGGTAATCTTTGTAAGAGACAACCAAAGTAACTACTTTTTCAAGGAGTGACACGTACTGCCGGGTCCGAAGCTAGTCGAGCATTCCCGTAATGAACACATGAATAAAATCGTATTATTATTAAATTGATTTTAATAAGCAAATGAATTGATCAGTAGGTAGGTAATAAGAATGTATAGGTCGCCGCCTAGTCGCGGCGGCTGCGTCGCTTTAATGCCGCCGACATTGCGACGCTGCCGTGTACAGTTTACCGACTCATGTTAAAAATGGTTTTCTAATTCGGCAATTATTTTGTTCTAAATTTGCATTTCTGTATTATCGCACAATTTTTTTTTTAATTTTAACCCACTGATCCGTATTATCTGTCATTTCATTTTTTGTGATACGCTTTATCTCAGATTGTATAAATAAGTATGTTCAGTAGTTATTTAGTTTTGATTATTTGACTTATTTGACATGGCGGTCTGCCATGATCCAACCACCCAAATTGCATACATACCTTTGCATCATCCAAATTAAAAACAGGATATAATAAAAAAAATAGTAGGATTAGAATTATTTATACCACATAAACCAGTACAGTCCTGATCTTGTACAATTTATCGCGATTTACCACAGGGATCTCCACCTTTCCTCACATCAATGGATTTAAGTGTTTGTCTGAGAATATCTAAATAAACATACGCATGCCTGGGAGTGAACGTCAACGCTGGTCGATGTCGAATGCCTGCATTCCCACAGCCACCAATTAAAATACCTAGGTACAAAGAAAACACGTAACATAAGCCTTTTAAATTTCACAATTTTGTGGAAAACTGATTGGTAAAGAAAAGTAATGTCAAGCGGCGAAATTTTATTGGGTTCTAAAATAAATATTTTGTGTTTTACAGAGTTTTTATCGTCTCATTTAAGCCATATGACATCCACTGCTGGGTATAAGTCAACAATAATTTTAAATCAAGCTAGGTGGCAACTGCAAAATTTATATGTAATACCGACCTGCTATTTTTAAGAACATCTGACTGTATACGGACACTGTCATCAATCATCATCAACAGCATTTATTAGTCCTCTACTGGACATATGCCTCTCCTCAAAAAGGAGGTTTTGGCCTACTATACCTACCACGCTGGCCAGTGTCACAACCCCTATTGTGTGGGTGTCGTAACAGCCGACTACTCAGGACAACAACACTGCAAAGAGAAAGAGAACTTGACACAAACCTTGTACTAACCCGTCTGGCTAGCGTTTCTGGCCAACCTTCTTTTAAAGAGGCATAGGTCTAGGACTGAAAAGCTGTTGATGTAATTTGATGTGTGTCCTGCAGAGTTCGCTCCCTTAGTCGGTTCTTACGACACCCACGGGATGAATAGGGATGGTGACACGCCGTATTCTTAATCCGTCACAACGCGGTTACCATACGGACACGGTGTGACAAGTAAACATTTGCCCAAATAACCAAACAAACCAAACAAAGTAACCAAATATGTCCTTTATTGTGGTGGCGATAGCCTGTTAAAACTGCAATTATTAGGGATGGTAAAAAGCGATAAAATAAAATGACAATGAGAAAGTGATTGATAAGAAATACAATGACTATTTGTTAAGACCGGCAAAGAAGGGCAGGAGTTGAATTTTTTCCCACTTAAAAAATTGTTAAAATTTTGTTTTCGTGAAGAAGCCATGGGAAAGAGCGATTGACCAGACGTAGTTGTTAAATTGTGAGCTTCTCCATCATTGTTTGCAATTCTTGGCAACAGATATCTGCCGTCACTGTGGTGCCATTTGGTAAGAAGGTGATCACAGCTTACCAAATGGCACAAGTCCGGCACTGGTACACCAGACAGTCACAATCATCTCCCTATGGGTAGTGTTTTTTTAGCTTACTGATTAGGTGCTGCACCCGGGTCCATCCACTGAGACGAACGCTAACGGTTGTCGTGGTTGTCGTAAAGGATCCACTTCTCATGTCAGGTAACATTTTCATTTATTTTTTCATTTTCTCTCGTTTCTATGTCGATTCAGTAGTGCTATGTATGATTCGATGCGTAAGTCTCGCCGATCGTCGCTTAGTTCGTGTGGCACTAACTTTTTTTATTTTTCAGATTTCGGGCTATTTTTTCAATGTTGTTTTAACACTAACTCCAAAGCCCACAGCAAGCTCAGCTATAGTTACCAGCCGACCGCGATGCTCGTTCTTCAACTCAAAAATACCAGATCTAAAATGATTGAACCCATAATGGACAGTGTTTATTCAAACAGTGTTAGGCCCGTACACTTAGTTAATGTTTCGTGTTGTTTGCGCAGCGGTATTTCCCCGTAGAAACTCATATTCAAAATTGTACGTTTATGCAATTTATCCATGGCGCCCGAAAACACTTCATTTTCACAAAATCAAATTTTATTTTTTTTATTTGAATTTTAAATTAAAATAACATGGCCACTGAAGCTCGAATAAAATTTATTTTAATGTCGAATTGCGCGCCGATCTACAGATAATTATTATATCTGAAAACGCTGGCTTTTAAAATCTCCAACTTCACAGGTTACCTATGATATGAAGTATGATTTTTAAAGTCTGCGTTTAGCTCATTTAAAAAACTGCAAGCGCGGAGGCTTCGGGCCTCACGTGAAAACGCATAATATCGTATTAACTGCATCTGTACTAATCCGTTCTCAAAAACCTTAAAGAACTATTCGTTAAAAATTATTCTCACCTTTTTGCAATAGTTGACAAAGTAATTTGTCTCTTGTAGCAGTGTTGGCAGTGTTAAACGCAACGAATGTGCCGCGTCCTCTTACACTATGTACGAGCCTCGGGAACTCGGACTCGATGTTTAGAAGACCTTCTCTGAGCGCTTCACCAGTTTTTTTCACTAATTCTAACAACTTTTCTTTCTTCAAACACTTCAAGAAAGCCTGAAGTAAGATTAACTTCGAAGGATCACCCATCCACGTGTTAAATATTCTAAATGCGTGCGGCGGACTGAAAAGAAAAACTATTTTAGAAGTTGTAGCCTGCAGCCTAAGAATAAATACATTTATTTTACTACCCAGTTTACCCAAATGTTTAAAATTGTTTAATTACTGTAACAACGGAGGAACTAGACATATATAACACAATAGTAAAAGAAAACGATAGCCAAGCTTTGCTGTAAAGGAATACTTACTGGTAATCTCTTTTGTAAAAGTAACCGCCAGTAAACATTTTTTTACTAAATGTAACCATGTCTGGAGGTTCGGGGAGATCAAAGTGTTCATGGCACCACATTTTTCCAGTGGGTCCACACCCTGTCTGCACTTCGTCTAATATTAATGCTACTCCATTCTGAGAAAATAAAATTGAAGCAAAAAGTAGGTGCGAATATTATAAAGTAAACGACCTGGTTAACTCAGTTACATTAAAACAAAATTATTAAGTCTAGAAAGTGCACATGGCTAAGCCCAATATACATTTTAATTAGTTTCACCCTCCTAGTTTCAAGTAGCAATAAAGTAGCAGCTTATCAAATTAATTATCATCAGCTCTTCAGTTATAAAATCTACATTTATAAAAATGTTTCGTGGTTTTGTGTAGGAATGCTTCAAATCTCAAATAGTTCTACACCGATTGAGCTCAAATTTTGACACGATATGCAACACGCTTCAAAGATTGGTTTTATGTATTTTTTCAACTACAATGTACCACAGCGAAGCGTGACAGGGACGCAGGGTACAGCTAGTTCATAATAATAAAAAAAAAAAGAAACAAAAAAAAAAGTATGGTAACACTCAGGGTCACTACCCACTAGACCAGAGGTTCCCAGACTTCTATTCTCATAGACCACTTTCAAAATTCAGCTGGTTCCGGTTGACCCCCTGCAGCTACATTTCTACCATATTTCCAAAACTCGACAAAAGATTATTAGATCTAGCTATGAAAATTTGTGTTGCGGCCGAGTTCTGACCACGAAAAATAGTTTTCAAAAAATAAGAGAGAATTGATTGGTTAATTAATTAATTAATTGATTGTGCTGTGAGCGAATGTCGAAAAAGAAAAGTTGGCCAATCAAAAAAGTGATTCCATCCAACTTTACTTTTTTGACATCTACTCACAGCACAAGAAACCATTCAACTCTCACTTATTTTATTTAAAAAACTCCCCATACGGAGTGAGAAAAATAGTATATTTTTTGTGTTGTATTTATTTAAATACGTGATCATTACACTATTAATTATTATTTTTATATTTTAATATTATTTCTCTTTAAAAAAGAGAAATAATATAAAAATTATATATAATAGTCGGCATAAAACACTTGTAATATAATCAAAATTAAACATTAATAACGTAATGTAACTTCTACAATGACAATCACAAAAAAGTCATAATTTTAATGGGAGGGATGTACAAGTACTTGATGGATTGACAGCAAATTATCAATATTTGGCTTCAGTTTTCTTAGGAATAACAGTAAATCTCGTTTCGTGATATTCAAGCTCCTTTTTTTGTTAAAGGTACGTAACGACACTAAAACTTTTTTCGACAAGATATGACGAGGGAAACGCTATCGAAAGCATTCTTGCAATTCGAGTATTTTTCGGATATTTCGGGTATTTCTGCAGCCCAAATGTTTGATACCCTCTTAATTTCACCTTCAGCTCCTCATTAGTGCTCAGCTAGAGTAGCTCCTCATTAGTGCCAAGCTAGAGTAGCTCCTCATAAGTGCTAAGCTAGAGTAGCTCCTCTTGTAATATCACATCTCCACTTCTATTTCATCATATGGATTTATGATCTATGGTGGTAATTCCATCGTTAGAATATCTTCAAATCTGATTTTGAAGTCATTATGCAGGGCAATTAAATGTTGAACGTATTTCTGAATATCATTCAAGGCATTCTACCAAGTTTGTAAACTGGGAAAATTCGCGCAGTCATTTTTTTTTTTAATCTAGAACTTTACTTTCCAGAAACTCTAAAACTGATTCAAAAAGTAAGTTAAATCTTCTTAAACAAGCACCTTTTGACAACCAGCGTACTTTAGTATGTAAGAGCAATCTTTGGAAGTCTATCATTTTTATCGCACAATTGTGCATATAAACGCGTATTCAACGCATTGCTTCTTATTTTGTTATCTGCATTAATAACGAATTTAAGCGATTGGTACAATCTATCACTCAAATTTTTAGCTACTAGGTATTGTCGGTGAATGACACAGTGAATTGTAGTTACCTCTGGTATAATTCTTTTAAAATGGCTTATTAAACCACGATATCGCCCGACCATGGCAGGAGCTCCATCTGTTGCCACCGAAATAACGTTTCCGATTTTTCCTTAAAAATCACTCAGGCCACTAAATATTAATTTACCTTTAGTGTCCGTCCCCAAAGTTTTCGCGAAAAGTAGCTCTTCATGAATTTCTTCGTATAACAAATCGAACATATGCCAATAACAATGCTTCAATGCTTCTTTCATAAGAGAAGGAAAACTTGACACAAACCCTATACCAACCAACCAAAATAAAAGCCATATGGACAATCGCTTGTTTGCCTTTGATGGAAAAAAACAAAATTTCAAATAATCAACACTATACTGTCGACATTTCTTCTTAGATTCAGCAATGTTTCGTATCAGTTACCTACCTGTAAAAAAAAACTTTGTTTTAGTAATCATAAGGCGGTCTTACGAAATCTTAAGGCGGTTTTTTCGAAATTTCCGAAACAAATGAGTAACCATTATTTTTGGAATTCGTATTTATATTGGTAAAAAATCAAACAAGTTCATGCAAGATTGCAAGCACACACACCCAAGTCGTATTTCGTCCCTTTGCACGTCTGAACAAGTGTTGCGGACAGCAGCGGCGGCGGCGGCTGCGGCGGCGCTATGCAAGTCTCGACATATTGTACTGAATATGGAATATGCAAGTAACAGTCGCTGAGCTTCTTAAAATATTATCTGTCTACATTAATAGGTAAAGTCAAGCAAACATTTTAGTTCTTCACTATCGAAAGCAGATAACTTTCGTGAACCCCTCCGCTTACAAATTATGAACCCCCAATTTTTTGTCACGCCAACTTAGACCCCCGTCAAGTCTCCCATGGACCCCTGGAGGTCCACCTGGACCACTTTGGGAACTATGGCACTAGACCAACAGCCCCGTCAACATATTAGACAATGTACATACTTACGCATTTCTTATAAAAACTAGAAAAAATTAACATAAAGTTGTAAATTATTTTCATACAGGTATATAAATAATAAAGAAAAAGGACTAAGAACCTGTTTGCAAAGTTTTTGAAGAGCTCGGAAAAACTCTGGAGAAGCTTCATTATCACCTCCTTCACCCTGTATTGGTTCAACTATTAATGCTGCTACGGGTCTGTTCTTTTTAAATTTATTTATAGCAGCAGCTACTTCCGCAAGAGACCTATGAAAAAAATAAGTAAATTGTTTTTTTTTTTACCATTGAGTAAACACAAAAGAAAACCTATGCTGTAACTCAGGTGCTTAGTGTATGCAATAAACACTACTATAAATCATTACATTAAACCTCCTATTCTGACACTTTAAAATCCAACGCCAACATGGTGCAACTATTCGCAGTACACATAAGTAGGTAGTGAAAAAAATTTTTGTTAACTATTACTTTCAAAATATAATTGGAATTCTTCTCTATAGTTTTAATATTGTGTTATTATTATCCTAATTGATTATAATTACGCATGGACTAATGAGTATTTAACTCATTAACAATGAGATTACTTTTTACTTTTAACTGTTTTCTGTAAAAGCGTGATAAATGGAAGAAAGAGTATGACCAATTTGGCTTTTGTTCTGTTTAAATAATTATATTTCATAATTAAAATAATAGTAAGTGTCTTCAGACGATAGGATACCATCCATACCCTTTTAATGGCAGTTCCTGGAATGTGTGTACATATTAGCATCTAATATTATGTTAATACTTGCTTCTCATCTTCCTTCTTATTTTCTCTGGTAAATTCGTTTAGAGGGTATTGGTATCTAGGGAAAGTAGGCCCCAAACCCCACGGAAAAGCGGGAATGTCTAACTTGTGAAGTGCTTTAGACCTTGTAGTTGTTAATGCGCCCATTGTACGACCATGGAATGCTCCCTGAAATAAAATGACAAATCTTATTCCTTTCTATCTCTATTAAATGAGTAGGCAAGAGCGCTCCTGATCACGACAGGCAAATCATATGAACATCGAAATTACCGACCTACCGACTATTACTTTTTCCAAAATTTAGACAACTTTTTAGTGGGTAAAAAATTCAATTCCCGAGAGGCAGTACAAGTCCGTCCAGCTGATTTTTACAAGAAGGGCATCAATAAACTGCCAATGCGTTGGCAAAGATGCGTCGATTGGATGGGTGATTACTTCGAATAACAGAAATAAAAAAGTTTGAAAAAATAAGTACTTTCACTTATTGCATACAAAACGGCAATTTCATAGGTAAAGACCTATTATATAAACACATAACTGAATAGTCACACTGTCGAAGTCTTACCTTCTTTATAATCCAATGCAGCTTCCTTTAAACCTAAGTTATATATATAATATGAAACGATAACATTAGGAGTGAACTAAACACAAGTATTTAAAATTTCATCGAATTTCTAACCTTAAATGATAAAATAGTAAGCGACGGTGATCCTGGTGGTTCATTTGACATCACTGAGATTAACTCGGGAGTGCCAAATGTTTTTTTGCCAGATCTTGCTTTTGAGCAAAAGTTTATGCAAGCAGCTTTCATTGCATTTTCATTTGAACATGCACCGCACATCATGGTAAATACGTTACATAGGCCAGGAGGGGAAATTGCTAGTAAAGTATCTCTTAGTGTTTTAGGCCAATCACAAGCTGGAAAAACGCCGAGAGCGGGCCGATTTACCAATGCCCTCTGCAAATATAAGTTAATAAAAACGTAAGCAACTGAAAATATTTAAATGAACATGTTTGTATTCATATACATACAAGATTGTGCTCATCTTCAAATGCCTTCAAAAGATAAGGATGGTTATATCCAAGAGGCACAGACGAGATTTGAGTATAGAGGTCCAAGATGTAGTTATTATCAGCGTCTACTAAATAATTGCCAAAAGACTTATCAAAATCACAAAATATTTTAACTGAACCAGCTTGCTGCAAAAATAAACAAACATTATGTTTATGAACTCGGTTAAGATATATCAGAATGTGTTTCCACTGCGTATTCTAAAATTTCTTGGTTCTAAATAACTTTTTATCTGTATACACTTGTAATCTAATCGTCACCGTAGTGGAGGAGGCATATATCTCTAAATATGTCATGTTTAATACAATAAAATTATTTTTTTCTTTGATTAAAGTATACCTGAATATTGTTTAATTCTTTAAACAGTTTTTGAGATTTTGGTCCTGGTATAGGAGGTTTCACCACTGGTTTAGACGGCTCTTGTAAATTAGATTTATGGCGGCAACTGCAATCTTCAAAAGTTAAACTTTGAAAATCATCTACACTACTTCAATATTTTAATTATTTAATATTTTGACGGATTTGAGAGACAACAATCAATCCATCAAAATATTATTAGTAAGTTATAATAATAATATTTGTGGATTATAGAAAATACACTTTATTTACAACGTACCGTTGGATGGGACAGTGATATCCACAAATAATTTTTTTGATGACCTAATTTATTACTGTCTTAAATTTTCCATCCGTAAGTCCGTTTGGATATTGTGGATAGCAGAAGGCGGATGTTATAATACAGCTCAATTCTCCTTAAAATAAAATATTAAGGCACAAACCATTGCTTTGCAAACATTGACGAGTCTGATGTATCCAGCATGTATTTGAAAATAAATGGGTCAGAAGGTAACGTAACGTAATATTAGTCTTACTACATCAATAATAAACCTGAACCTCATTTCTAAGGAGAGGCCCATGTCCAGCAGTGGACAGCAGGAGCAGAGTCCAGTAGTAAAGGCTGTTGATGATGATGGTGAAATCAATAATTGAACTCATCTGAGTATTGAACTCATCTCAGTACTCACAAATTGCCGAAATAAGACACCAATTGTAAAAAGCTCAAAAAAACTTGTATAAAAAGTGAAAACCGTTTATCCGTTTTATTTTTCCCCTACTTTCTTCTTTGAAGCTTTATTTTTGACCTTAACTACTGTAGACCTTATTAAAAACGTGCCTCGGTGGATGCTGTGGAGGTTGCTGTGGTGGCTGCTGTTGCCCCTGTTATAACCATCTACACTTGTTGCACCAAAAAAATTGCTCCGGACGCGGGCTTGACGTCTCTGGCAAGCCAAACTTTAAGTTCTTTATGATGAGTCACCGGCCTCGGTTTTCTATGTCGTCCTTTTCAATGCCGTTTTGTGGAAATATACTTCTATTGGCGGTTGGAAAGAGGTACACACCACAAATACGAAAAACTTTTTTCCGTCAGTCAGAATTATGAATTTCAAAATACCAAACAAAAAACATAATAAAGTAGACATTTTTAAATTACATTAAACGTTACTTATAGCTTTTGAATGTATATGCGTAATTGAATGTTATACTGACTGAATCAGAATCTCAATTTTAGGAGTTTAATCGATCGAATTGAAAATTGGAATGTCATTTTTCGGACCGAGAACCCATCGAGCATTTGATTTATCGAACGTATAAAAATCGGAAAACACACATCGCATTTACATTTTCGGTAAAATAAATTTTAATGAATTTTAATAATAGACGTTATAATTCTTAGTTATTATGAAATTTGGACTTTTGAAAATCGGAACATCGAAATTCGGAATAAAATATTTTGGAGTATTTGAGTGTTCCCGTTGGAAAGAGATCCTTATGTTAATTAAGGCATTATCTGTAAATATGTGCTGTCAAATATTAATTAACTTGAATAAAACATTAATATGATTAATGTATAAAAAAAGCACTAGTACGTTTACTTGGTTTATTGCACTATAGTGTGACTGCTGACTTGACATATTGCAGTGATTGAAATAGTCGCTCACTTAATTAAGTTTCTAGCAACCAAATGTTGTCTATGTATAACGCAATGTACAGCAAGGACATCTTTTCTAAGTACGCTTTGAAGCGTTTATGGCACTCTGTCATAGCCAGAGCGCCATCCGTAGCAACAGATATAATATTTTTCAAGGGAATCTCTTTCTCATCACAAAACTCTTCCAATGTATTGAGAAGAATGATTAAAGAGAGGCGGCAGCAATACCCTAACCAGTTTACATCAGAAGGTGCTACTTTCACTGAAGGACAGGCCGTTTGCTCAGCTTTCAACAGTTTTTTTCTTAGTGTGTTTAACGATATGCCTTGTGATGGTTCTGAGACCATGCCTAGTACAGATTGTGATACTCGGCTTAATGTTTTGTCAAAAATAGATATAACGGAAGATATGGTTCTCAATTTGTTGACGTCACTCGACAAGACAAAAGGCCCCGGCTATGATAGAATACCTGCTATACTTTTATCAAAATGTGCTAATAATCTGTCATATCCTATATTTTTGATATTCAGAAAATCATTACAGGATTGCATATTTCCGTCCATGTGGAAAAAAACGCATATAATACCTATCCATAAAAAAGGATCAAAGTCACTGATTCAGAATTATCGTCCCATATCTATTCTCGTTAGTAAGATCTTCGAAAAAATTATATACAACAACATTTACCCTATCATTTCACAGAGCATCCCGGATACTCAGCATGGTTTTGTGAGGGGTCGTTCCACTAACTCTAACCTTGCTCTATTCTGTGATTATGTATTGTGTGGAATGGAGTCCATTGTTTGTTTGTTTTGTTTTATAAAAAGACAACTCCCGCATTAGGAATAAATCCTGTGTCGCGGGGGACCTTACAAACATACATGAAACGGACACAAAGAACACCCAGACTCAGAACAACAATTTGTGGATCACACAAAGTGTCGTCCCATGTGGGGTTTGAACCCACAACACTCGGCGTAGTAGGAAGCGGCGTGGCGACCGCTTAAACCACTACGCCATCCGTGCAGTCATTGGGTAAGTTGACACTATTTATACAGATTTCGAAAACATATTACTTGCAAAATTATATAGATTAGGAATCCATGGAGACTTATTACGTTGGATAAGGTCATACTTAACGAATCGCTCACAAGCTGTAACTGTGGGGGCTTTAAATCTAATTTCATCAATATGGAGTAAAGCAGGGGTCTCACCTCGGGCCTCTTCTTTATTGTGCTTACTTGTATGACATAGACAAGTGTTTTGGTAATTCGAGACATCTAATGTATGCTGATGATAAAAAGATATATTTCAAAATTAAATCTACACTTGACTGTGAGTTGGTGCAACGAGATCTGGACGCATTGTTCACATATTATAAACGCAATAAAATTACGGTTAACATTGATAAATGTCAGTGCATAAGTTTTGGTCGTCGTAGAAGTCCTATCAAGTACACATACAAATTCGGTGATAATGTTATCGCTAGGGTAGATCATGTAAGAGACCTGGGGGTAGTGTTAGATTCTAAAATGCTTTTTTCTCGTCATATAGACACCATTACCAGTAAGGCATTCAGAAATCTAGGCTTCGTTATGCGTACGTGCGCTAAATTTAGGAATATCTACTGCCTTAAAACTCTTTACCGCGCATACGTGCAAAGTGTACTTGACTATGGCAGTCCTGTTTGGTTTCCTCAATATGTTACATACACAGATAAAATTGAGAGAATTCAAAAACGTTTCGTAAGACATCTAAATTTTAAGACAAGGAGACGACATTTATCATATCTTGACGACTGCAAGCACTATGATCTACTGCCTCTATCTAGTAGGCGTGTGTTACTCGACATGAGCTTTTTGTTCGCTATCATTCGAGGTGAAATTGATAGTATCTAATATTAGCTTGAATGCACCCGGGGCTCGTACTAGAAATACGCGCCTGTTCAGTGTTCCTCTGCACCGCACCAATTATGCTAAGAATTCTGTTCTCACTCGTTTGCCTAGCTGTTACAATATTAATTTTGACGAGATTGACATCTTCCACCTCTCAAAAAGTGCCTTTAAAAGACAAATAACTAAAAAGTTGCAATCATACTTGTGAATCCAAGTTAAGATTGTTTTTGTAAGTTGCTTTCTTTTGGAATACTTCTCACTCTGCACAATATACCTAATTTAACTAAATTAGAGATAGTATATAATACTTACAATTGCCTATGTTTAAGTGGTGCACGCTTTTTACTTGTCGCGGAACTTTATTATTGGCTAAGAGTCTAAAAAAATGTTTAACTTCACCCATGATATATGTAACATAGCTGATAAGTTTCCAAATAAATAAATTTAAGATGGTTTCGTCTTTTATAACAGTCTCTAAATTGACTAGTCCTCAGATGATTGCACAATGATCCTTCGATGTTTTCAGCCATTTCATCAATTCGTCTTTGCACAGAATTATTACTCAAAGGAATTTTTCGGATAATATCTGCGGCCGGTTTATGAAACACAGTAGTTATTACTTCCTTTATATCTGGCAAAATTGCCTCTTCTCCGATGTTGTGTGGTTTGCCTTTTTGAGCAATTAACAAAGAGATATTCGAATCTCGAAGTCCGTCGTCATGTTGCTTAGCAGCCGCCGAAAATAGTTTTGCTACAATTGACCGAGTATTATGCTTCTTCTCTAAGTCTTGAAAATATGCTACATTCTTATCTTTCTTTTCTGGATGCATTTTATTCAAATGATCTTGCAGGTCTTGAAGGTTTCATTGCTTCATTCGAAAATGTTTTTAGGCATAGAAGGCACAAAGGCGACGATGGGTTTGTGGGATTTTCAATGAATCCGAATTTAATATATTCCGCACAGTATTTCCGTCTCTTCTTTTTTACTTCCGACATTGTTTTGTTTTGAGAAATACGTACGTAAGTGTGGAACTTAAGTACTGTTTATCAATTACGCGCGAAACCGCAAATGAAAAGAAATGAATATAACGTTGGTTATACAGGATTGCATAAGCAGCACGCACCGACAGGAATAAGATAAACATGCATAAACTTGTTTATCTCATTCGACGCTCAATCGTACTTAACAAGTAAGGACAAGTATTCTATGAACCAGCCGATTGATACAGGAATGCACAAATCGGGTTATTTAACAAAACTTATTAGAACATGATTGCCCGCGGTCTATTATCTACGAAAATTACCTATCTAGTATCTAATAATCATCAACAATAAAAGAAGTGAAAAACGTGGCGACTTGCCACTGTTCTTGAGTTAATTGGAACCTGATATCAACAAACTTATTAAACATCGATATATTTAAGAATCGATTACGATTTGTTTTGATTGAATACTAATAACTATCAAAATGCGAAAGTGTGTCTGTTGCCTTTTTATTTGGTTGCTTATGTCTACTTTCATTTCGAAACGGAGCGACCGATTGACATGATTTTTATTTTATTTATCCATTAAAACAGGATTGATATATGAACTACGCGGAGAGATATATCGAAGCGAGTTTGAGCAATCTCTTAATTAATATTAGTTGATATTCACAAGTTGTAGTCGAAAGTCGAGAGCTCAGTCGGAGTCTAAGAGTCCTCCTAGGTAGATGAAATTACAAATCGCCCCCAAAGCCTCTACACAACGCCCCCATTTTTTTTCTGGGTCTCTTACCCACCCACTTTAGGAAAGACTGACTATGACGATAAGTTTTTCCTTATAGTAATTCCTTTAAGTTATATTAATAACCAAATTTCAGCTGATCTTTGAAATGAAGTGTATAAACAAATTATAGGGATGTAAATCGTGTAGTTGTGATTTCATAATTTGTTAAATAGACTAGATTCTTTTTTTTTTAATTATGAAATCACAACTACACGATTTATGTGTTAGATTTATTTCCAGAAATAACCAGGTAGAAAAATCGTTACGTATAATCAGAGCTGAAATTACAATAATCACATGTCCATAAATGTTCTAAAATACACATTGTATATAACTTACCTATGGAGCCTGAAAGCGAAAGCAATGAATCGTTTAGAATACGAATAGTTGTTAGTCTCATCATATTCGTCTTCAAATATTTTACTGCTGCGCCAGACGATATACTTAGGAGTTTAAAACCAACGGGTCACCTATAATAAAATATCCTTAACATCAATAAAATTGATAACGAATACTATTTTTAATTCACATTGAATCACCTAACACGTTTGTAAGTTTACCAAAGCGACAAATTACCATCTCGGTAGCATTAATAATTTAAGTAGTACCTACATATTCTAAAGTAGAACGTAATTAAAATCAACTACGACCCAATTCGGCAAATGTAATGCAAGTAAATATATTATCGTCTTTTGACTATTTCGATTCGTCTCTTTTTGTACTCCTACTGATGCTTCCAACATGCAACTGACTGAGGAGAAGCATAATAGGCACATGACAGGCTTTTCAACAGCGTTAAAGTGTATAAATAAAAAGACACGATAATACATTTTGACCATGTTGTTAACTACATGAGACTACAATTTAATACAAAACTGTCCAAGTACAGGAACCACAGAAAGTAATTTAAGAAATAAATAATTAGGTATGACAGGAACTTATAAAGATGTAGTTACATACTCTGTGTACAATAACAATCTTTTAACATGTATTTATAATAAGTCACTTACCTCTATCAAAAATTTGCTAAGTCCGACATAGAGGTAAAAATATCAAAGAATTCGAATTAAAAATTGATTGATAGGCATAAAATAGCACAATGGTGGAAGAAAGAATGAAAATTTTAGACCATATTCGAATTTTAATGTCAAATCGAATAACATTGTCAAAGTTTCGTGACGCCTCTTAATTTTTTTTGAAAGTATTGTCTTTTGGTAAAGCAGTAAAGGTTATTTATTTTAAGGGTTTTATGCATTCTTTTTTATTTATTGAAGCCGGTTAGATAGAAGAAGACGGTTACAGCCATACGCGGTTGCCACACCGTGTCTACGGAGGCGGGGTGAGACACACCGCCTCCGTAGACACGGCGGTGTGGGTAACAAGCCCGTGGGATTTGGAGGCTGAAGTGCTTGTAGAAGTATCTCGGCGGACGGCTTTACCGCCGTGGAGAGGCTCCAGACTGTCATCATTGAGTGCCTAGCGGGTCTCTCGCCGCGCGCGAACCGGTCGGCAAAGGCACGCATTCCAGAGCCTTATGTAACCCTGAGTAATTTTATAAGCAAAATTACTACTTTAAATTGCATTATTAACCCATTATCGGCATAAATAAAAAATCTATATTCACAAAGGTACCTATAGGTATTTCACGAAGCGTTTATAAATTTTTCGATCTGCTTGATCCCTTGGCGTTACGTAGAGATGTGGCATCACTATGCATTATCTATCGCATATATCATGGAGAATGCTCAACGAATCTATGGAACAGGTTATAGTCTGCGGTATTTCCGGACCGATACGACCTTCAAACCTTCAAGAAAAGAGCGTACTCCTTCTTAAAAAGCCGGCAACGCGTTTGTAACTCCTGAGTTGCAGACGTTCATGGGCGGCGATGGTCACTTTCCATCAGGTGAATCGTTTGCTCGTCTGCCCCCTCTAACATAAAAAATAAACATAATTACAGCTTGTACAAGAATGATTACTACATTTTATACTGTGGGAAACTGGTGCCTAAGCAAGGCCTATGTTTCAGGACATCAGAAAAAAGTATACAATTAAGGAGGGGACTCCTCCTCCTACACATTTCTGTTAAGATTGTGTCAACGCTTTAGATTCGGCGTCGATTTACCGCTCGGGGACGGGCGGGTTTGGCAGTTGTTGCTCCCCCCCAGAATACGATCGGGAGCTGCCGGAGCCGTTTGGTTCCGGGAGGGATATCCCAGACGCAGTGCGTCCGTCAGTCCTGGGTAGGTATCACCTTTTTCTTGCCCATGCCATAATGTTGAGTTTAATGTCCTCCGACATGACCCCCTCGGCACTGGAATCCCTCCAGCGACTCAGCTCCCTGCCAGGCATCAGAGCGTGGGCTTGGGGTTTTTTATAGAGGTTTACGTCCTCGCGGGTCCAAAGAGCCACCGGTCCTGTCCGTTCAGGATTACGGCTGGGGCGGTCGGGGCCTGACCGGGTCCATCCGCCCCATGGTGTTTATAGTCGTTTTATATAGATTGTCTTCCTCGTAGCTCTCGAAGAGCCGTCGTTCCTGATTCTTGCCAGTCAGTGGTCTGCATCAGACCAGTGTCCACTACTTCTGGACTAAGCCAGAGGTGGAGACCCCGTCCGCCCCCTCGCTAGCTCTCCACTAAACAGAGAGACACGCGGAAAGCGTCCGAGCAAGCCTCAAGAGGGCTGCTCCCACCTTCTCTGCCGGAATTGGCCGTAGGCGGCAGCGCCTCCCCCACCCAGGAAGAGGCCACTGCCGTCTTCGTTGCCCAGGGTGCACCACGCGGAGGGTGTTCTCGACCCCGCACCCCAATCCCTCACCTATCAATAGCTTCCGTTCCTACCTACCTTTCCTTTCGTTTATACTACCAATTTGTTTTAACGGCCTTCAGAAAGTCAAACATGATTATAAGACGTTTGGCTTGTGTAGGTTTGATAACTTAGACATGTAAAGGATGAAAAACTCCAGTTCTTTAAACAAATCAAAAAAGTTGACTTAGAAACTTGGGATTTGTGGTAAAATTCAAACGGTAAAATAATTGTGGTTGCTAGAGGTAATAAACAAAGAATAACAAATTAATAGTTTCATTAAGATAAGCACAAATTAGATTTGCAGATAACGCTTAAACTTGAGTTGAACAACTAAAATTGGTAGTTTGTCGACGACAGTAGGTACTATCGTTTTTTTAAATTACTTACTTGTATTTGATATTTTAATTTTCCTACATCATGGATGGGTTCCATTTTGTTTTAATGGCTTTTACATTTATAAAAGTGAGTAAAGTTAAATAATCATAATTTTAATCAAGAATTCAGTAGTACAGTACAAGGATGCTGTAGTCACTTACCAGCAGGTGACCTGTCTGACCGTTGGCTCCCTTTTACCTTAAAAAAATACTTGTATAATAATACATTAAAGTACATTAAAATTAAAATGTACTTTCTATCGACCCTGCAAGAATCAAAATGACCTGATAATTTGGACAGAACAAAACATTTTCATGACAAGTTTGCCACCCATAGTAAACCATTAGTTCAATAAATTAAGAGATTTTTTAAAAAATAAATCATTTTATTTTTCAACGTAGTCTCCCTTGAGCTCTATACACTTTGTCCAACGCTTCTCCAATTTTTTTATCCCTTCCAAAAAATATGATTAGTCGAGGTCCTCAAAATAGGCCTTTGTTTGCGAGATGACTTTATCATTGGAGTCAAATCTTTTTCCACCAAGCCATTTCTTCAGGTTTGGGAATAAGAAGTAGTCACTCGGAGCCAAATCTGAGAATAGGGCGGATGAGGGAGCAATTCATAGCCCAATTCATGGATTTTTGCCATGGCAACTGCACATGTGTGCACCCTTGCATTGTCTTGGTGGAAAAGAACTTTTTTCTTGGCCAAATGAGGTCGGTTTTTTTTCAAATCGTCATTGAATCGGTCCAATAAGATGGCATAATATTCCCCAGTGCTTGTTCTTCCCTTTTGAAGGTAGTCAATGTGGATTATCCCGCGTGCATCCCAAAAGACAGTCGCCATAACTTTATTGGCTGACGAACCCACCTTGGCCTTCTTTGGCGCCGAATCACCCTTAGAAACCCACTGTTTTGACTGTTGTTGGATCTCTGGTGTGTTGTGATGGATCCATGTTTCGTCCACGGTTATAAAACGGCGCAAAAACTCCTCCATATTGCGATAAAACAACGCCAAACCTTCCTGTGAAGTTGTTACACGATTGCGTTTGTGGTCGACTGTGAACAATCGCGGCACCCATCTTGCGGAAAGCTTTCTCATGCCCAAGTGATCATTCAAAATTGAAACCACTGAGCCATGCGAGATCCCTACAGCTTCCACAATCTCTTGCACTTTCAATCTTCGGTCGGCCAACACCATATCGTGAATTTTTTCGATTGTTTCGGGTGAAGAGACCTCAACTGGGCGTCCAGGACGTTCGGCATCTTCAGTGCTTGTACGGCCACAACGAAATTCAGTAAACCAGTTTTTTACCATTGAAATCGATGGTGCAGAGTCCCCATAGTATTTATCAAGCTTAGCCTTGGTCTTGGTAATGGTTTTTTTTCACAAAAAATAATGCTTAATAAGCACACGAAATTCACTTTTTTCCATTTTTTCCTCAAATTACTGGGTAGTCTGATAAAGATAGCTGTCAAACACAAACTAACTGACGCAGGAAGTTCAAATTTTGACAGGGGTCAACTGACAGATGCCTGTTGACAGGAGTAGTGTTGCTTTTTCAGTAAAGAGGTCAGAAATTCAAAAAGTCACGGACTTATTGACCCGCCCTCGTAACAAGATCTATGTGAGTTTGAGGTTTTTTTTTTTTTTTTTTTTTTTTTCTTTTTTCAATGGAACCATGCCACATGGTTTCTTGTATTTATTTTAAACTTTAGAATTTATTTAGAATCCGGGTTAGGTTAGGTTAGGTTAATAAGGGGTGCTAGCTAGAAAACCTCCCCGTGGTGCACCCTGGAAACGCTGGCGATGGTACTGTTTCCTCCTTGTCCTCTTGGAGGAGAGGATTATCGCCAGCGGCTAATATTCTAGCAGAAGAGGTAGCCGTTCATCGGCTCTCGGGCAAGGCCTGGTCCAGCAGGGTGGGCGTGTCTGCCGGTTGCCCTGCTGGCTCTTCGCTCTTCGGAGCATGGAGGAGGAAACCTCGGTAAAAAACCAGAAGGTGGGGCCCTATAGGGGCCAGTTTCTCCGCTGTTAGCGGTGGAGAGAGGAGGACGGGCTCGGCGTGTACTGACACTACCACCGAGCAGGCAGGGAGACGTAGTCTCCTTGTCACCGTCGGCATATCGTAATCCCGAGAAGAGCGCTGTGGTCAAGTCTAGCGGCTCTGATCGGGGACGAGGGTCTTGGCTTAACCGCCCGGACCGCGAGGATGTAAAC